TCAGCCTACCACACGCATCTAACAACTTATAAACAGCACTTCTGTCGTGATTATTTTGTTCGTGGTTCCCTGGCGGTCTTCAGATACCCTTGTGATGTTGTTGCAGCGCGTCTGCACAATCTCATAAGAGAAGAAATCCACGTTCTACTCGAAGAATAGTCCTCAACAAGAATTATTTAAGGACCTCTTCGAAAATTACAGATGAGGACCGACTGAAATGAAGTCTGAAACAAGCGTGCGTTCGTACTGACGGGAATAGCACGGAGAACTTCCCTGTCCACTCGTCAACAGTTTAGATCAAGCATTCAGAAATATCTATCTTTTCAAATCGACGGCAACTAACAGCAAATGGAGCTTTTGTACATGTTAGGAAAGCAGCTAGAAGAGTCGGCTAGATCGCAGTTGGTAGCCAGGAATGGGGAGGCGGACGGCAACCCTAATCATAACCTCAAACTTAAACATTAACCGGTAATCCTCACGGCAACCCTAACCCTAACCGAAGTCGTAAACGTAGCCATAGCCCTTAGACATAGCCGTAACTGTGAAACCTAACCGTAATGCTGAAACCCAACCGTACGCTGAAACCCTAATCGTAACCCGAAAACCTAAGCCTAACGGAATAACACCAACCCAAAAATCGGAAACCATTAACCGGTACCCCTTTTCCTAACCTCAAACGTAAAGCGGAAGCCAAATGAGTCAGGTGTAATTATGGAGCCCCATTAAATAGCCCCAGTAAATAAACCCCCCAGCCTCCTGTAATACAGAATCTGGCTACCAACTGCAATCCAGCAGAGGAGTCGTTCTGGTTTCGACGGAAAAAGCAACAGGAAATTCTTGTTGACAAAGACAACGGAGACTGAGGTGGCCATGTCCGGTCTATCTGACGTCACTGGTCAGATACATTCCAATCTGAGTCGAAACCCGAGAATTGAGCCCCAGTCAGTTTACCGAGCCCTTTTAAACCAAACGTTCTGCCACTAGAACAGCATCCTGTCGGTCACGATCGGGAAAACTCAGTCATTTGCGAGTGGTGTTCAATGACCTACCATGATCGCTGAACGGAAAACACCGATTTCGTGACCCAGATTGTCAGAGACATTATTTTCTGCAAATGTTCTAAGATTGACAATACCGGGGCAATGTCGGAAGTAGTCAACCGGCATCCGAATTTGAGTTTTGTACCACCACGACCGTGTTGAGTTATTTTGGGAAGTCAGCAGGACAAATCCTTGTCGGGCGCCTGATTGAACTGTTAGGTTGTGAGCGTTGCCTTAGAACACGGACGCAAGGTTGGCGGTAGTAGGCCTCGATGTCGGCACAAATTTAACTACGCAACCCATCACAACGGTTAACGGTGGACAGACCCAACGGCTTCGGCTTAGTCAATGAAAAACATTAAACGGCTGGTAGCCATGATACAATTCGAGTATGAGCTAAGAGCGCGTATGTGGTAAGACAACCTAGCTATTTCAGATGTCAGTCGATTAATAAAGTTGCTCCAGAGATTTCTTCCCCCTCGGTGCAAATAACTGGCCAAAGCATTCGCGTTCGGCCTGCGGCCCCAGTTTGGTTGGATCTTGTCCCCCCGCCCCCCACATTACCACGTAAACACTGCGTCTAAAAACGAGGGAAAAACTACCGTAAATGCGTCAATGAGACTCACACAGCGGTAGATCTCCGGCCTGGTCTTAAAATATGCGCAGAGGCACGAATCCCGGTCATTTGGTGCGATGTCACGTATCAGACTTACTAGATTACCTTACAAGTAAGAGACCTAGCGCGACAAAACACCATGGTGAGGGTGATAGCATTGCAGATTGTTCGAATTGGCGATGCTGAGAGACATACTGATGAGCCAAATGACTCTGCCCCTAGCATACACTCCCCACTGACGCCCGGCTTCCTGCCGCCTCCCAACGTCTGGCCACTCGGTTTTGCCTTGTTGTCGTAGCCTGCGCTGTAGATCGTGTCAGAACGTCTTCGTGAAGGTCTTTCGGCTTGCTCACGATGTGTCATCCGTCACACGCGACCGTAAATGGAGCTCCTGGCTAGGAGGGCAGGCATACTGACAGAGCTCAAAGAGCGGCTTGGTGAAGACGGATGTCTATGTGTGCCCGTTCTTGTGGGTAGACGCATGCGTTACCCGTGAGGCGCTAATGTGGCCCGCACACGGGGTGGCGGCTACGATCTGAGTCATGCACACGTGCTAACGCGCGGCCCCAGCGCTAGGAAGCATGTCTGATGACTACGACAGAGAACGACGTGGTGGGACGAACAAATTAACGCCCCCATACGCACCAAACAGTCCGAATAAG